GCTGGGCCAGCAGCTCATCCTCGTCGTTCCTTGAATAGCAGCGCTCCTCTCCGAAACTCTGCAAGGAATTTCATTATACCCGGCATCAGTCTCGAATTCACACATGGACGAAATCAGAGCCTTCCGAAATCAACGACGACGAAATAAGCTCGTTCGAATCTTTGGAAATGCATTCTTGATCCCACGCAAATGCGGAAATCGAGTTTTTTTTTTGGGGAGGGGGCAGCATTTTTTTTTTCTTTTCAAATGCTCGGGTTGATTATCATAAAAGGTTATTTAGGGAACAATCACGTTGCAAAATTAAACTATGGAATACAGTTTGTCAGGCTAAAATTCGAGAATCCAATTCCTCAGAAAACCTCCTATTTACTCATCTCTGTGCAAAGGGGGGAAAACTCAGGTGCACACACCCATTTTTTCCCAAAATCCTCCAAGGCTCTTTTTTATAGGTAAATCCTAATACTGTTGTTTGTCCTTGAAGGACAGTCTTCTTGATTCCTACTCTATCTAAAAACTTTACTCTTCTCTGAGCTCTCAACTGGGACACTTGAGCATTTTTTCAAATATTGTGTGTGTTGACTGTGTTTCTGAATTACAACAGCCTTAAAATGGGGTGAAATTTCACCCCAGTTGTAGCCTGACCAAATTCTTTGTGACATTTATTTCTAAAAAACATATTATATTTAAACGTTACTAAATCATTCCTAACAAATTATGCACACTCCAACCTGTAGGTTGAATTTGAAAGACTGAGGGAAAAATTGACTCAAGGACATATTCTAAGTTGTTGGTCAGATTATTCAAGGAAAATGATTTAATGGCCAAATGAGTATTTCAACATTCATATAGATGTCCTATCTGGAGGAAGTTCACTGATTCTTTGTGAAAAGAAGTTTTCATTTATATTTTTGGTTTTCTGCTTATGGGGATAAGTTCTAGAATTTAGCCCCATTTTAAAAGCGCAAAGTTTAGCTGAAGAAAAGTATAGACCCAAAAAGTATGATTTTGTGAAGTTTAAAATGCATCAGTTTCAACAGAGTTTGCCATAAATATTATGGAGATTCAAATTATGGAAGTTTTTGACTTGGTTACTTTGGAGGTTCCACTGTAAAAGTCAAAAATTATAAATACATGATGCTTGCAAATACTTTCACAAAAATAAATGCTAGAGCATGATTTGTTACCCTGAATAAAGAACTGAAGAATCCAAATTCTCAGAAAAACTTGTCCTTGTACATCTCTGTGTGATCCAGGAAAGATCTTGGTTGACACGCCCATTTTTCCTGAAAGCCTCCAAGGCTCTTTTTTATTGCCAAATCCTGAAACTGTTATTTGTCATTGAAGAACAGTTTTCCTGTCTTCCTACTTCATCTCAAAAACTCACTCTTCTTTGAGCTCTCATATGAGAAACTCTAGGGTTCTTGTGAATATGGTGTGTGTCGACTGTGTTCTTGAATTACAACAACCTTAAAATAGGGTGAAATTTCACCCTGGTGGTAGCCCGACCAAATTCTTTGTGACATTTATTTCCACAGCATATTCTATTTAAATTTTACTAAATCATTCCTAACAAATACTGAAAAGTCCTAAAATCACAAATGCATTATTTGTTCATTGTGTGTGAACGTTTGCAATGCTGCAGATGAAGGCCAAGACCATCAAATGAATATTGCAAGAGTTTGCTTTTCAACTCTTGGCGCATTTTGGCATCATATTATTTTGGTATTGTATTCAGCGTTTACCATTTCAGTTCAAAACTGGATGCTTTCAACTGAATTAAATTTTTCCACAAAACTCTGATGTTTTTCAAATCTAGATTTTTAAATCACACCATAGAAGCCTGCCAAAAAGTTTCAGGCACATACATGACATTGCTGCAGCTTCTTCTTGAATCCAATCCAGAGAACTGTTTTAAAAAGTACAGTATACAGTATTGCAGAAAACTTTTCATTCATCATGTATCCAATACGGTACAGTATCTGTAATGCTGTTATAATTTTATGGACGGATCGGCCTGTAATTTTGCTGGAGTCCTGCAAAAATTCTTCCGGGCATAAAACAGGACTTTCGGCTATTCCAAGGTGCCGTATATTGAATGAAGATTTTATCCTCATTTCCCCAAAAAAAGGTACCGTGGTTAATTAATGACCGATACATGTTACACCTAATAAGGTATCCATCCATCTATTCCTGGCCCTCATCTCACCCATGTGGGTTCCGTTTCTCGCGACAGTCGTTCGATCCTAATAGTCTTGCTAATTTCGATCGAAACAAAGGTAATCACCATGAGACCAGCAGCATGTTTTTTGTCGTAATTAATCACAATATTACCAGCGCCGAGACAAAAATAATGTCTTTCCAACATTAATCAGGAATTGTGGGTGATTCATTTGCACATGTGTATCAAGAGTCAGAGCCGTTTATTGAGGTTCTTCCATTCAAAGGAAGATTCGAGGCACTGAAGATATATAGTTGTCTGGCCAAAGTCCAACTAACCGGGGTTCTCGTAACTTGAAGGGGTGTGTTTCCTGTGCTTCTCGATGTCTTTCACCATAGTCTTCTCAACGCCAATGAAAATTTCTTTGAATGAGGCAAGTTTGGCCTGGAGCCAAAAAATGTAACCCTACCAATTCTACGACTGTTTTTCAGTTGAGGCATTTATTCTTTAGAGAC